TAAATAAATTAGGTTTAATAACTAAGAATGAATTAGATTCAGATTATTCTATAAAACCTTTTCAAAGATATCACTCTTAACAAAACTATTCTATGAGAATGGATAGAATAGAATCGAAAGTAGATGAAATCGGTCAATTGATATCTCAATTCGGGAGGATGATGCTCGATAATCAATCCAAAAAACCTGTAGCTAAATCAAATTTTACACATTACTATCCCCAACTTTCATCTACACAGTCCCAATATACACCTCCAGCTTCAGATAATGAGAAAGATAATAATAGTGGTTATGATGAAGAAAATAATAAATAGACTGGGTATTATCCACTAGAAAAAAAAAACAAATACTAGCAAAATACAGCCTGCCTGAAACGTATGATGAGCTGTTTCTAAAACTTTCACTGGCAATACGTAAAATGTGCTTGTCTCGAAAGACTCAGGAAAAGGAATCAGATAAGTAGTTTTCTTCTCTACAATATCTGAATATAAATATAAATGATTTAGCGATTTTTGAATCTTTTTTAGATCCAGGAAGTAAATTTGGTAGTAAAAATGACCTGGCAATTAAGACGCTTGGATAGAAGGCTGATAAGCCATCTGATTTTGCTATAAAGGGCAATTCTAGGCATATTACTGATTCATTAGAATGGTACACAGATGTGCTAGTTACTATGAAGAACAAAGAGGGTGAGATAGTCACAGTCATTAGAAATTTTGTATGTATAGATAGTGGTGAACCTAAACTAATGCTATTTTTAGATATGTCAAATATTTGAAAGCTCCAAGGTGTTCCCGAGCTAAATAAAAACCAGTTCTGTATAAAGTTATATGGGAAAACCTATGTTATTTCAACATATAGCAAGGCCCTAGTAGCTAAAGATTCGCCAAAAGAAGAGCAGGTTCTAGAGAGTTCGCATGATTCAGCCCAAGTATCTACTGATTTCTCTAGCCTGACTAGTAAGGATAATTTAAAAAAAAGTACATAAATTGTATGGATTATGAAGATATGACAATTCATATAAAAGAGCTCAAAAAGTCATTATTTTCTAGTATTCAATTGAATTTGGAAATCATAGAATACTATAATAATTTGCTTGACCAATATGAGAAGATTTCTCTAGGACAGGGTGTGGCAATTTAGTGAAGTGGTGGAGTTGTCGCACCCCCAAACTGCAGGTCTAGAGTTCGAATCCCACAGACGACAATTTTGAAAAAACTAGATCTGTATCAGCTAACATTAAGATTATCGGTTAGATCCAGATATCTGTAATCTTGGTCACACCATCTCGAATGGGAGCTTTGGCGTAATAAATCCAGAAAACCAGAATTACCGAAAACCTGTTTGGCAAGCCCTGAGTAGAGAGATAGTATAATCTTTGATGGTGCTACAAGAAAACTGAATTTGGAATTAGAGACCGAGACTGGAGAACCAAGCGACCAGGTCCTTAAGTAGGGGGACACACCAGCTGAACCGCCGGGTCACCAACTGGAGGAAATGGACATGTGCTCTGGAAGTATGTACCAAGGGAAGGGAGACCATAAGGCACCTAAAGCCTGGGCAGACCGACCCTTCTGGGTTGCTGGCTGGAAGTAAGGAAGAGACCGGTAAAGAATCCAAGAAAGAAGAAAAGTCCAAATGTGGGTACTAGGGTTGTGCAAACCTTACAAGGGCGAGAAGTATGTAATAGAAGACTAATTAAGAAGGTTGTAACTTGAGATACAGATCGGGTTATGGCAGTATTCTAAAGGATAGCTTGAGACATGAACCTGGTGATAGTATTACAACAAGTACTAGTTAGAAGGAAATTACTAAACATGCAAGTATAAACATGTGTGGGACATGAACTACTCTGTTAGGTTTACCTCGTGAATAGACTAGCTAGAAATGGTTAGTAAGTCCTAAGGTGGGTGCAAAATCTACAGGTATTACAAAAACCTATATATGAATAGTGAGTTATACCTTGGTTAGCTTAGGAATGGATGGCAGTTGTAACTAGAGGGTTTAAATAGGTATCCTTTAGGATTGTTAATGGAGTGAAGTGGAGTAGATTAGGTTAAAATCAAATGAAGCAAGCCTTGCTCCAACCCAACCCGGGTTATATTTCAAATTAACACTCTGGGTTGTACTCCAGGTTAGTGCTTCGGGTTAATACTCTGGGTTATAAGAATAATTTGCTTCAGAGCACTTCATATGGAGCAACCTGGGTTATATTTCAAATTAATACTCCAGGTTGTACTCCAGGTTGGTGCTCTGGATTAATGCTCTAGGTTATAAGAATAATTTTGCTCCAGAGCACTTCATATGAAGCAACCCAGGTTTTGCTCCAGACCACTCCAACAAAAGTGATCATTCAAATTCGTAGATTATTCTAATATAGTTATACAATCAATAAATTATTTTTTTTTATATGTTTTATAATACTTCTTTTAAAAGCTCAGGTAGCTTAACTTTCTATAAAATGAGAGTAAATTTAATGGATGAATTTATGCCTTCTCTTCGTCTTATAACAATTCTTTAAATTCTCATGAATCCTATTGCTTTTTTTTTTACAATTTGATCAGATCACCATTACAATTTTATATGAGTACCATCAAGAGAAAACCTGTCATCAGGCTTTCAATTTATTTCATACCAAATACAGTTTCTAATAAATTAGATTATATCTTGTACAAATATCATTGAAAGTCTGATGATAGGTTTTTCTTTAATGGCACTTATAAAATCGCCTATTCTAGCTTTCCAAATGATATTATTAAGCTGTTTTAGATTTCTATTATATTCAGATAATAAATACAGTGAAACCTCAATAAATGCACCCTCTATAAATTCTAAATGCATACTTAACATCTGGCCCAAATATATGCGTGATCTCTATAAATACACTTTTTCCAAATATACGATGTTAAAGTTCAGTTCCCCAAGTATGTGTATTTATAGAGGTTTCACTGTAGATTTGCAATATGTTTAAAAGAACTCTAATGAACTTACCAAAGAAAAAAGCTGTAAGAAACTAAAATAACCTGCTCATAACAATGATATGGTATAAGATACAAAAATGAAATATGAAGCTTTTTTATTTTTATCAAATAAATTATTACAGTGAAATCTCTATAAATGCATGCACTTGGAACTAAACTTTAACATTGTGCATTTAAAGAACAATAAGAAAAAGTGTATTTATAGAGATCATGCATATATTTGGGCCAGAGGTTGAGTATGCATTTGGAGAGAGTGTGCATTTATAGAAGGTGCATTTATGAAAGTTTCACTGTATATGAGTGAAGTCAAAATTCTAATATAACTAGCTATTTTAAATGATTGATGAAAATTTAGAACAACCTGGATTATAAGAAAATTTTGCTCCAGGTCACTTCATATGTGGAGTAACCCAGGTTATAAGAAATAACTTTGCTCAGGTTACTATATAATTCTTAAAATCTCATCCCATTTCAACTTTAAAATAGAGTATAACCCAGAATACATTGCTCTATTAATAACTCTACTTTATAGTATAAAATATATTTATTTGTTAAATTGTTTAATATAATAATATTTAAAGTGTTTTTCAAATTACCGTAATTGTTAGTTCATCGCCTATAACAAAAATCTTTAAATTCATATAAATATTTATATTTTTATAATTCTCTATTTAAAAAAATAATCAAATGATTTTTCATTATATTTTCTATTTAAAAAATAATTCTGAGCTTTCACTATATTCTCTATTTAAAAAATAATCCAACGATTTTTTGCTATACTTAATATATACTAGATCTTGTAGTGCAATAAAGATTTTATCTAAATTTTACAAACTTTAAATGAATATATCTTCTTATTTTCTATATTATAAGCTACTTTCAATTCTATATACTAGTAGTATTCAAATATGTTTTTAAATGTTGAAATTTATCAGACTATGATTAAGAAATCTCGAACTTGGACCTTATGATAAAAATCAGTTGGTGTTTAATAGATTTCTAGTTTCTATAATATGATATAAAATTTGTTATTACAGTAATTCAAAAAGTACTATAATAAAGTTACTAAGAATATATTAGATTAGCTGAAATCAAGTTACTAGCCTATCTCTCTTTTAAAAATTTATGATATCAGCTAATATCTAACACTTTCTTAATAATAAATATGTATATATGTAGTTAAAATATTATATTTCAAAAAGAAAAAAAGCTTTCTATGTCAAGTTCTTTTTTATTCTTGTCATATACTTGCTGAATTCAGCTTTTAAGACACATGACTACATGTGCAGTATCTGGTTTTAAGTTACAACAAATTTTAGTTATAGTATTTGCCACCATAGAAAAAGCCTGTTCTGAAGGCATGCTTGAACCCTGAACACTTAAATAGCATAATGCTATACTTGCAAAAATTAGAAAATCTTTACCAAAATGGCACCACCAATTTAACAGATTTGTATTAGAATCAACTAGAGTTGCAAAATATCGAGTAATTTCATCTTCAACAGTTACTTGTTCAGAATTTTGTTTGGAAATTAAAGATTCAAAAAATGACTGTTTGTTTTCTTTTGATTGTAAATTTATATTAGTAAATTGAGCATCATTTTTATATAATTTCATTCTGTTATGCAAAAGTGCTATAGCTCTATCACGCTTATTAATATCTTTAAAAGTTTTAGTCTTAGATTGTGGATCTAACAAAGCTTCAATTGTTGTTGATTTATCAACACATTCCCAATATTCTTGAAGTTTAAAATTAATTGAATTTGCTACTATACATTTGCTCAAAGAAGTATCAGAGTGAGTTTCAAGAAAAAATTCTAAATGTTACAATAAACCAATTATAGTTAATCTTACATTACTTATAGTAGGATATGTTGAAGTTGATAATATTTCAGTTGCTATAAAAAATGGTTCAAGTAATTGAATTAAACTATTAACTACTAGCCAATCATCATCTTGCAAATAGAAATCAGAAAGATTCTGATTTTTAATAATAATAAAAAGATCTAAAATATCTCACATTTGGCAAAATTTTTTTAACATAAGGTATATACTATTCCACCGCGTCTTTATATCTAAATCAGGTCTTAATTCAGGCTTATTTTCAAGTTTATAAATTGTTTTTAAAGACTCACTTAATATTGTTGAATGCTGAATTTTTGTTACAAAATCTCGAACTCTTTTTATAATTATTGATGCTAACTGCAAACCATGTTGTATAGCAATATTGAGTATGTGTGCTGTACATCTCTGATGAACTAATTTATAATTATCTAGAGTTTCTTTAAGTTCCCACCCTGCAGCTATCATCGAATATACATTATTAGTTGTGATTCTCAACAACTTTTTAGTAATTTTAGCCTGATCTAATACTTGTATAAGAGCTTGTTTAATGTTTATAGCAGTATGTTGTTTAGTAAAATAATAAAGATCAAGTAAAAAATATTTCAATTGCTATTCATGATTAATAAAATAAACTATAATACCAAGATATGATTGTATTGCAATTGAACTCCAAATATCACAAGTAATTGAAACCTTTCTAGCTTTTTTAAATTCTTGTAAAATTATTTCATGTATATAATTATATTTATTCAAAATCTCAGTTCGTATAGTTTTCGACAAGGTACTTGATATCGTCCATCAAGTTTATTTAACATTGTAATAAAATATATATTATCAATGATAGAAAAAGAAAGCTGGCAGCAAACTATAAAATCCACAATTGTATCTATAAGTTGCCAGTATCATTGATCTGTTTTTGAATAAGGCTTACCTATAAAATTTTCAAGAGTGCTTTGTCGATTACCAATATAGTTACTATGTTTATTATATAGATATTTAGCAAGCATTCCTGGCGTATTGGTTGACTTATATTTAAGTTTGCATATAGTATATATAAATGAAATAATCTCATTATTATTATTATATTTCTTTGAAAAATGTTTCCAAACCCAGGAGGGTTCTTGTGAAGTAAGTAAAACTAAGTTAAGATTACTTTCTTTGCTAGTATTTGTTAGTTTGACTGTTGTTTTAGTTGGTGTACTTTCTGTTAAATCAATAGTATCTTTGGTTTCAAAACTACCTTCAGTTAATTCATTCTTATATTGAATATTTGATTCAATTGTAGTTATTTTTTGCTTTTTAGA